CGTTTTCCTTCACCTCGACGGGCTGGCTCGCGGCGGGGGCCTCGAACGCGCCGCGCGTCGTCTTGTGCGGCTGCGTCGCCTTCACGTTCAGCTGGGACGTCGCCCAGTGCAGCTTCTTGGCGAGCTCGGCGAGCTGCGGCTGCACGCGTTCGTCCTTGTAGAGCGTCTCGCAACTATCGTACGATCCGCTCAGCATCAGGTCGTCGAGGGGTCTCTACAGCTCGCTCCACTCGCAGACGCTCACCTCCACCACACCCGGAACGGGCGTCTGCGCGAGGAAGCGACGGCCGCGGTAGTCCACCACCGCCATCAGGATCGTGCGAAGTTCGGGCACGTTCGCGGTGTTCAGATTCGTCACGCCCTACGTCTCGCTCCCTCCCCTCTCGCCTACAAGCACGCTGTAGTTGGCCAGAACGCGCGCTCCCGTGTTGGCGAGCGAGGGCTCAATGTGCGTAAACGTGATCCCGTCCACCTGGTACGTCTTCAATCCGCCCGTCGTGGGCTCCGCCACCAGCGCCTCTACACAAAACGCGTGCGATCCGCGCCTACCATCCACGATGCGACGCGCTCCGCGCACGGCCGCCGCGGCGAACTCGTTCTCGAGACTGTACGAGTAGAAGGGCTGCAGCTCGGCGTCCACTTGGTCCTTCACCAGATTGTACTCCTGCAGCCAGTTCGGCGCGGGAGTGACGTCCGAGGAGAGGTACGGAAGCGTCTCGCCGGCCAGCAGCTGCGCGGCCTGATGCAGCAGCTCCACACTGACGGTGTCGTCCTGCGAGGAGGCGAACCAGTGCTGCGGGGGAATCGTGTTGCTCGCGAGGGTGGGCAGCGAGTCCAGGATCTCCTCCAGCGAGAACTTCTCCGTGCGATCGCCCTCCTCCACGTGCTGCTTGTACCACGCGGCGAACGCGGGGGACACCGCGACCAGCAGGTGGCAGAGCGTCGAATAGACCGTGGAGTGCTGCTCGCTCGCAGCCGCGTTGAACACGGAATCGGAAGACTGGCTCACGTAGAAGCCGTTCGTGCAGCAAGTGATGTGGAGCACCGCGTTCTCCTTCGTTACGATCTACGATGTACGAGGCTACACGGCTCTACGCGCAGATAGGCCAAGTCGCCGATCAACTGGCGATTGGAGCTCGGAGGGTTGTAGGCGGACATCTGCATGCTGCACAGAGGATATTCCTTCTTTTCGCTCAGCAGCGCGTGCGTCTTCGTGAAGGAATCCAGGTTGAATTGGATAGGGAACTTCGGCTTCTCGATCTCGCTCTTGAACTGCTGGTCCTTCTCAATCGCCTCTTTGTCGAGATAACTCTCCTTCGGCTTCATGTCCTCCGTGGGCTCCTTTCCTTCCATCGAAGCCTTCAGAATGTTCTCGTAAGCCAAAACGCTTTCAGGAACATCTTCTACCTGTTTCTTCGTCATGAGCATAATAAGCGGCAGCGTGTCAGTTACCAACGCTACGGTCCGCTTGATGTGCTCGCGTGCTGCCGTTGTAGTGTACTGGTCGCAAACTAAGTTGAAAATAGCATTGTTCTTGATAGCATCAACTTCTCCGAAGGGAGTCACTTCGTCAAGTCGAGTGCGAGTAGGTTTCGTATCAATCTCGAAGTGATAGTTGGAATACACAGATAAGCTGTAAAAAGCAATAATTCTTTCACGTAACGAGGCTGCCGTGTCAGAAGATGTTACACTGATATCAACCTTTTCGCCATTGGGTCCTTTTACCACAATAGTAAACTCGTTCGTGCTTTGTGCAGGTTGATCGCTCATTTTACCGATTTACCTATATATTATTTCCTATGAAATTGGTTTCATACCCCTAGAATGTATAGAAACTTGGTACTGGGAAGAAGGAAACGGGGAAACTGGGGTTTCAGAGTTGGTTTTCTGAACAAGGTCTATTATTATTGCTTTTGTGAAACAAACAGGGAAGCATTTCGACTGCTAGAATTGCTGCCGTCCGCAAGCAGGACAGCGGGCTAGATTCGTTGTACATACTCCGCATTCGCAATATCTATCATTCGGATTGACTCGAATCTGCGCTCTTGCCTGATTAAGACTTGAATGCAAAGAGGATATGCTTCTAGAAAGCGAATGTGAGATTTGATCAAGTTCCATCGTAATCGATTCATAGATTGAGCTTATGTCTTCACTCTTTTTGTCAATCGCATTATGCAAGGTCTTTAAACTCAGTATTCTCTTGATAGTCGCTTTTCGAGGATTCGTACTCGGATCAATTTGGTTGTCCAATTTGGTGGCACGGCAATTGAAATCTCGAATTTGTTGTTCGATTCCATTGTACTCGATCTTATAGCAATTACGTAGTTTGTATTATTAGGAGCACCATACTAGTCAAAGGATATCAAAAATAAATGATTTGTGTACAGAGAATGGCTAGCTAAGTAGCTGAGAGAAGAGACCGACAGGAGTATTAACAGCAAACGATAATTCTCGTCTAAAGTTCATTTCCTGAAAATGGTGTCAGGATTCTTAAACACTTCAAAACACACAAAAAGCAAAGCATTCATTTCAAATTCCTTAGTTTAGTATGTCTCTTTTAAACATTGTTCATAGGTTTGAAATATCATACCAACTAGGCTGTTATCCCTCAACTGTCCAACTATAGTAATCCATGTGATTACTCTCTTCTGAGAAAACTGACTTTCTAATTTGCACAACTCTTTTTATTCATTCTTTGACTCAGGCAACTGTGCCTACAACAGAAATACACCTTCAATCCTCTTTCTTTCGCTCCTATAGTAATTACAAATGGTTGTACTCGGTTACACTCTTGTATTCCTCAAAGACATCATCCTACAAAACAGACTGAAACAAACAAAGAGCAATAACATTTTATAACAACTTTCCACAAGTGTTGCAGTTTGTCTGACTTGGGTCATTTACATGCTGACAATATTTACACTGCTTCATTCCCGGGTTTCCATACTGATAGCCAGGTACACCATTCTGAGGATATGAAGACGGATAAGGAGCATAAGGCTGCTGAGGGGGCTGATAATATGAATAAGGCTGATATAACTGAGGTTGTTGGGGCGGCTGGGGTTGATAGGTCTGAGGCTGGAAAGGTGGCTGATAGGATTGAGGCTGGAAAGGCGGCTGGGGCTGATATGGCTGAGGTTGCTGAGGTTGCTGTGGCTGCTGAGGTTGCTGAGGTTGCTGTGGTTGCTGAGGTTGCTGAGGTTGCTGTGGTTGCTGAGGTTGATATGGCTGTGGCTGATATGGCTGCGGCTGCGGCTGGTAAGCAGGGAATTGCGAATCATTCTGCTCATAGTAATTACCTCCAGGACCCTGAGGTGGCGGGGATCCTGACGCAGGAGGGAAGGAACGCTTCGGTGAGCCAAAGCCAGGAGAAGCAGACTTTTTCTCCGCGTCAAATCGGGCTCGCAGTTGCTTGTAGTTGGCATCCAATTTCTCATAGAACGTAGTGCCTTCGGCGATGAAGCTCGAAGCATTGTTGAACGCCTCGATCGTTCGAGAAATGTTGATCAGCACGCTCTGGCGCTGCATATAGGAAGGCTCGCTCTTCATAGCCATGTTGAACTCTTCGAATCGCTGCTGCAAAGCAGAAATATAGGTGTTCTGACATTGCATGCTTAGCTCCAACTCGTGGAATTTGTCCTTGATGAGATTGAAATTGCGAGTGAAAATGCCACGCTCATCACCAGATCCCTTCTCTTGAATCAGCTCATCGCGAATCTTGCTGTCATCCTTCTCCATCGCCAGCAGCTCGTTGATTTTCTGCCTACGCGTCTGCAGAATGCTATCGATTTCGCCCACGGCCTTCTGGAGCTGCTCGAGCGCTACCTGAGCATTACCGGACAGATCTTCGGAAGGCAGCTGCGCCTCGAGATCACCTCGAGAGCTCTCCAAATAAGTGCGATTCTGCGTTACCTTCTGCACTTGATCGTTCACCTTCTGTTCTCCAGACATCGCTTCGCCCAAATACCCCATAAACTTGTTCAGCTCGACCATGATCTGGCTGAGCGCAGAGGAAAGAGGAGGGTTGCCCGGCTTCTGCAGCTCCCCCAGTTCCTGCTGCAACTCCTGCATGCTCGTTTTCACAGCCGAAGCCTTCGAATTCATCGAATGCAGCCTCGAGAACAGCGTCTGGAGGCCATCCTTCTCCTGAATGTCCTGAATCTGCTCCCAGTATTCTTCCGGAAGACCCGCCTTCGACTTCGCCGTGGAGATCTACCGTTCACATAAGCCAGAAACCCATACAACATTATCCACGTGCAGATTCTCCTTCACCTGCTCCAGCTGCTTGTTGTATCCTTCGATGGACTGGATCAGTTTGTCCAGCTCGCCCTGCGCGAAGCTGTGATACCGCGCCAGCGCATCCACCACATACTGCGGCACCATCTTCTCGAAGCTGCCAGGTCCGATGTTCGGGATATCCGGCTCGGTCAGAGGGTGAAGGATCTTGGCTTCCACTTGCGGGAAGTCGCTAACGGGAGTCTGGACTTCGAGCTATCAATCACAGAACCAATCCTCGGTCTACATAAGCGCGATTCTCTTTCATGCCTTCGATATACGTGGTGTGCGACTTCTGGACAAGATCGGTAGCCATTTCGGACAGCGGCTTGCTGAGCGCCTTCCGGTACTTCTCCAAAATCGCTCGGAAAACCTTCTCCGCCTCCGCACCCAAGCCAACCAGCAAGCCACAGCCCGTCGAGGTGGTTTCCAATCGCTGCTTTGCATACTCAGCAAGGTACAAGTAGGCATTGCCGAGACAGAACTCCGACAGAATATGACAAAGAGTCGCCCAGCTAGAGCTGGGAGCGTTGCTGGATTCAAAAGCTGCAGCAGCATCGTCGAACATCTTCTGGCAGCCGAACAGAATCGCAGACTTGGCGTAGGGCTTGGTGCCAGAAAGATCCGCCTTCTTGGCTACGGCTAGCTGCGAGAGCGCATGACAAAAGTTTTCAAACTAGCTGTGAAGCGAAAACTGAAACAATACTCCTAAAAGAGCTGCTTCACTCATATCCCATGTTTTATTGTCCTGACCATAACTAGAAAACAGGACCTGGCGAATATATAAGAAGCAATTAGCGGCCTCCTTGTACTCATTGATAACAATCTGAATATCGCCCAGACTCTCCATGCTCTAAAAATCAGATCTAAAATGGGTAGGAGATACCGAGGTGAACTTGAACGCCTTTTGCGAGTGAAGGGCAGCGATATTGAATAAGACGCAAGCCTTTTCATATGTAAAATTGTATGTAGAGGTCGCATTCTTTCGGTAGATATCACTCCACTTCACCTGAATACCAACGGGCTACAAATAAGGCGTAAAAAGTACGTGTGTACAGATTCCTCGGCTACCGGGAAAGAATCCACAATTTGAGATACAAAGCAGTAATACTCGATCGTTTCTGATATCGACATATCATTTTCATAGCAGGAAAGATTAACTAATTGCTTCCTGCCTTCTTCGGCTGATTTAAGTAACTCCTTAAGAGTTCGATTGCTGTCCTATTCAATTACGGGAGTACAAAACACGAACAATAGATAGATTCTTTTTAGCATAACTTAAAAGGCGAGATGAAATATCCGCTTTAGAAGGGTTCTTGAGAGGAATGGATGAATACATATTAAGAAAAAATAAAAGACGGGTAAGCATCCAAAATAGTGCGTCCAATCAATTACGGCACTGGATAGGACTACACAGTTTACAAAAACCTTTTACGAAATGAAGGCGTGTTGTTGGAAAATCACGATCAAATCCAAACTTTCCCGTTGCCATTATATTGAAAAGCTGGAATAAAAAACCAATGAGCTTTTACACGATTTCCAAATTAAATGTTGAAGATGTCTCCGAGATATCTAAATACAATTCCGGAGATCAGTACATCTTCTGACGACATAACCTATAACGATGAAATCAGTTCCATCAACGACTCCTCAAATGAAATTCACTCCAGTCTGAGCAAGGATGATCGATCTATTGAGATTGGAGACGAGGATGAGGATGTCGATGAGGAGTATTATGGTCTCGTTGTGTTACTCTCTCTGACTTGAAGATTCCTCGGATATTCCTACAATAGCTGTTCCTAGAACTACCAGTAAAGATAAAAAGAAAAAGAAACCGACACAAAAGTTAGATTCCGTTGAGTTTTGAATATCTGCATTATTACTAGATGGATTGGTATCCAGAATCGAATGACCTATTCAATTCTTATCAATACACTGTCATCCTCACTCTTTTCACTTAGTTCTAGAAACAGCAAAACCCTCGTTCTTTTTTCCCTGAAATGTCTAATGGTGTTTCCAGAAACCAGGATTTTGATCGTTTTCGTGATCAGACAGAGATGAGTCCTGATTTGCCTTTGTCTATCTCGAACAATATTGAGGAAATTGATGTACTTTAGACAGGACGAGATAACACGTAGAATAGTGTCCAGAAACTGAAGCAGCATGCCCTCTCTAAGACCGAACAGGATGAGTACTTTCGTCTTGAAATTGAATACAGGAATAATGAGCAGAAAATCGTTCAGTTAGTAAGTGTAGAATGTCAGTATTACTGATAGCAAGGTACAATTAACCAGCTTTATTCTGATTATGCAATGTTGCAGCAAAAGCAGATCGATGAAGTGAATGTATGGTACTGAAATGGGTCGATATCTTCTAGATGATCCGGAAAACAGAGGAAGATTTCATTGCGAACTACGATGTGAAAGAACTGACTGCTATGAAAAAGGATTATGTCAATTTCTTCAAGAAGAGAGAGCAATATATTCTTACGCAGATTGAGGACCGATACGAAAAGCCAGTTCGAGAAATGTACATCAGTACGCAGGCTGCGATTCGAAATATGGTAGAAGATGATTTGGTAATCGTGATTTTTGTAGAATCGTTCGATTCTGGGAAAGATAATATTCACGATCGTTTGGTTCATTGAATATGTGTGGAACTGGCTCAAAGATGAGTGGTCGAAAATAATGACAACAGAGAAGGAGGAAGAAGAGCCAGTGTTCCAACGACCTGAAAAGATATATAAGAAATCAAAGAAGGGGAAAAGTGATCGAAACCGAGGTAGTAAGCAAAAGAGATCGCCTGTTTGTAACAAATACTTGCTAAAACAATTCCTTTTCATAGCATGTCGCTATTCCCGACATTCCTTTCTTCAGTTTTGCAGGCGTTTCCATATCTCCTGTCTGAGCCAGTCCATGATAATGCTGCTCATTGATGAACTCCAGCATTGGGCTCTCAAACACAATCATTTGATAATCCTTTTCGTTGATTTCTGCCTCTACAAGCTCTTCCTCTTTCACATCGCCCAACAGTTTTCTATGTTCAACAGTCATTCCAAGCATGCGTGCAATCGTGAATATACACCGACTCCCACGCTCTTTTGCCGAAAGAAATCTCGTACTCATAAGGCATAATGATGGGGAACGGATATTCCTACAGGGGAACCAATACTACTACTACTACTACTACTACTACTACTACAATTACATGCGTATCGATAAAGCAACTGCGTTCACAGCCAATCAGCACGAAACCTTCCATTCCAGGAAAGTTTGCGAGCTTCGGAAGTGTGAGTTTCCCAACCATGAAGGGATAAGCAACCTGCTCATGCTGCTCTGCGAGAAAGGAAAGTCGGTTTAGCATTTCTCCGTATCGATAGACAGAAAGAGTGCCTATAGCAATTCTGAACACTTCAAGAACGTCATATTACATCAAATATTATCCGTAATGTAGTCAATATCGAGAAGATCGTTTTCGAATGCATAGTAAACCGGTATATCTTGAACGAGAGACATGCATGCGTCACCAAAATGAACCACCATTTCTGCATTTATGTGTTCTAGGTCCACCTATGCTAGAAAAGCACAAATAGTTAGTACCACATCAACACAACAAGGGCAAACAGTCGTATCTCCCAAAATATAAATATTGCAGTCTTCATCTAGGTGACTCTGTACATTACAAAGGTAATATTGTCCAAACCTTCAATTCTGAACTTATCACATCTGCTTCCGATAACATACTATCGGGAAACTGAAGAGCAATCTATTGTCATAAATACACCGACAAGATAAACCTTTTTCGCATTCACTTCATTTACAACGTTTACTATATTTTTGCAGTCATAATAATCATAAACAGACTGTTGATCACGTCCCATGTCCTCGATACACAAAGATAATGTGACGGTTTTTAGGTGGACAGATGATGTGATGCTGAGTAGATATTTCGATATTTCACAGTATTTTCAAGAAATCAGACATTTAATCGGCACTGCCCCTGGGTAGCAATCTCCACTCTGTGATTGGCAGGAGATTCTGTGACCCCCAAGCAAATGAGTTGTTCTAGAATATGCATTTTCCCCAGATTACTTTTTCTTTGTGCAATAACTGATGAAAAGCATTCTGAAGTATTTGCTCTATACGCTTATGGTGGTTGCGCTCCTCTCTGGACCGAGTAAATCCTGAAAGAGTTGATAATTGATAGGTATGATGGTGTTTGCCCAGGAGGATGATGAAATTATGGAGGAGAGCCCTATCGAGACTTCGGAGGAGGCTGTAGAGGAGAATCCTACGATGGAAACTTATGAATTCCAAACGGAAGTGAATCGTCTTATGGATATTATTATTAACTCTCTTTACCAGAATAAGGATGTGTTCTTGCGTGAAGTGATTTCGAACTCTGCTGATGCGCTTGACAAGATCCGTTTCATTTCTCTGACGAATAACGAGGTACGTAGTTGTTCAATGCAATGTCAAACGTTGTGAATTGTGCTTCTTTTTGTACGATTATGATGAGCTTGTGTCTGTGAGGATAGAGATCTCCAGGAACAGCTTTGTGCTGGCGAACCCTTCTGGTCCTCTATTCGTATGAACGCACTTTGCGTGAAAACGCGGTCTGAATCATGCTGTTGTGTTCGAATGAATGAATGAATGAATGAATGAATGAATGAATGAATGAATGAATGAATGAATGAATGAATGAATTTGCAAATTGTTGAACATTTATCTAACGATGTCTCTAGGCTCTGGGAGATGACTCCGTGGACGACTTGGATATTCGCATCAAGTTCGACGAGGAGGCTGGTACTCTGACGATCACGGATCGTGGTATTGGTATGACGAAGCAAGAGCTGATCGAGCATCTTGGAACGGTGGCCAAGTCGGGTACGACGCAGTTCGTGGAGAAGATGGCTGCTGGAGGCGATCTGAACATGATCGGTCAGTTCGGTGTGGGTTTCTACTCTGTGTATTTGGTGTCGGATCGCGTGGTGGTGCGATCCAAGAGCGACGAGGATCCCGTTCAGCACATCTGGGAATCCAGCGCGGATGCGACGTTCAAGGTGGGCGAAGATCCTGCGGGCAACACGCTGGGTCGCGGTACGGAGATCACGATGTATCTGAAGGACGATGCGAAGGAATATTTGGATGCGGACAAGCTGGAAGGCCTGATCAAGAAGTACTCGGAGTTCATTACGTTCCCGATCTATCTGTATAAGAGCCACACGGAGACGGTGGAGGTGCCTGTGGAGGAAGAGGAAGAGGAGGACGTGTTCGAGGGCGAAGATCTGGAGGATGAGGAAGGAAGCAACGCGGAGGAAGTCGAGGAAGAAGAGGCGGAGAGCGACAAGCCCAAGACGCGCACGGAGGAGAAGACGGTGTGGGACTGGGAGCTCATGAACGAGCAGAAGGCGATCTGGTCTCGCGACAAGAGCGAGATTTCGGACGAGGAGTACGCCAACTTCTACAAGACGCTGGTGCGCAACAGCGAGCAGGAGCCTCTGACCTGGACCCACTTCAAGGCGGAGGGAGAGATCGACTTCAAGTGCATTCTGTACCTGCCCAAGAAGGCGCCCGCCGATCTGTACGAGGACTTCTACCACAAGAAGATGAACAACCTGCATCTGTACGTGCGCAAGGTGCTGATCCAGGATTCGTTCGACGATCTGCTTCCTCGCTATCTGTCCTTTGTGGTGGGTGTCGTGGACTCGGACGATCTGCCTCTGAACGTGTCGCGTGAGCAGCTGTCGCAGGACAAGGTGCTGAAGGTGATGGGCAAGAAGATCGTGCGCAAGGCCATCGAGATGATCAAGAAGCTGGCCGAGGAAACGGCTGCGGAGAAGGAGGCCGAGAAGGCCGAGAAGGAAGCCGAGAAGACCGAGACGGAGGAGCAAGTGGAGCAGACTGAGCAGACTGAGCAGAAGGAGGAGGAGGAAGTGGAGAGCACGCAGCCTGAAGACAACGCGAACTACATCGAGCTGTGGGAGCAGTTCGGCAAGTCGCTGAAGATCGGAGTGATCGAGGACAGCGCGAACCGCAACAAGCTGGCGCGTCTGCTGCGCTACAAGTCGTCGACCTCGGAGGGCAAGTGGACCTCGCTGGAGAACTACGTGAAGCGCATGAAGGACTGGCAGA